CCTCGGGATCAGCTCCATGTACTGCATGGCCTGGATGGGGAGAGACCAGTTACTGCATGGCCTGGATGGGGAGAGACCAGTTACTGCATGGCCTGGATGGGGAGAGACCAGTTACTGCATGGCCTGGGACAGGGACAGACCCAGTTACTCTGAGCTGTCTGTGGCAGGGAAGCACGAGCTTGGTGTGGGACGCTCTGCTCATCTTATGGAGTGGTGGCAGAAAACGTGACCCTTCCCCTCCCTTCTCCCTTTGAGGTGTTTTAACCCCACAGTTTGGAAATAAAAGGCTGAACTGGCTCTGATGCCAGTGGCAGGCAGGCTGTACTTAATCACTTCATCCTCAAAAACAGGTTGCCTGTTTTTGGAGAGGTTTTGTTTTGTTTCAAACAAAACCCAGCCTGCCAAGGAAAGCAAAGCAGCACGGACAGACCTGCTTTGCTGGCTCACACACAGATCCCAACACACCCTCCCTTGCTGGCACTACCAGGATACTTTTCTGTGTAATTTGACAAGGTTGCTGAAAAGTCTAAAAGCTCATAAACATCAAAATCCAAGACCAGTTTCCTTCTGCCTTGTGCTAGGATAGCGAGAGCTGCAGGGAGTGGGTAAGGGGCTGTACCTGGACCATCCCAGAGCCCCCAGGGCTGCACAGAGCACAGTTTACAGTAAAATATCCCCTTTTATCAAATAAAGGGGATATTTTATCAAAGATAAAAATATTATCTTCATACAGGAAAAAGTAGGGTCTGGAACATCAACAGGCACCAACTCCACCCCTCTATTGACTTCCCAGCAGAGGGAAGGTATTTGGTCTCCAGTGCCCTGTGATATGGAAAGGAAATGCCAAGACAATATCCAAAATAAAGTCTCCAATTCAACTGCCATTACCTTAAAGTCAGAGTAAGCCCATCTCTGTCCCAGGCTGGGTTAGTGCTTGTGGGATGTGGGGGCTGCACAGTTAACTTCTCTGACTGGGGATAAGGGAAGGGAGTTTCCCACTCCGGCATTTTTGCTATTGTAGTGTGAAGAGTGACAGGGCGGCCAGTTGGCTCCCTGCCATTCCCTGTCAGACCAACATCCAGCTGCATTAGATTTGCTTCTTACTGGGTCAGCACTTGGGAACTCAATTTAAAAAGAATTAGCAGAGAGGTTTAACTGTTTGTGGCACATGGGCTGGTTCAGACCAGGCTTTTAAATACAGAAATGTTTGTACAGCACCGAACAACTCATCACCCTGGGAAAAACTTCCAAGTCCCTTCCACCTGGGCTACTCTGAGCCAGAGAACAGTGCTGCCAGGCAGAATTCCTGAGAGGAAACTAGCAACAGATAATGATTTAATGGAAGCAGGGTTTCTTCCCTGCACCTTGGGGTGTAAGTTAAAATCACTGTACACTGGGATATTAGACATCACAACTCAGTACACTGTGTCCCTGTGCAATGGCAGGGCTGATGTCCAGTTTCCTGGGAAGGCTGGTGCTCTGTGGAAGAAGGGGCTGCTCAGGAACAGCAGGTTGGAGAACTGCAGGATGCTGGGGGAGTGATCCGGTGCACTAATGGCTTTTACAGGCGTGAGGAATCCTAATAGGAATGGCAGGAGAAAGGGACAAGAACTCCCTGACAGCTCCTCCCAGGCTCACACAGGCACTGCCGACAGTATCCAACAACTGCAAAGGGAAAACCAAACCTGCTGCTGTGTGACCAGGGACACCAGGACAGCACGTGCTGTCCTGCACTGCCCTCACCACAGCACCAGCTCCAGCAGAGCAGTGACATGGTGGGATCTGAATGGGAAAGATTCTTAACCCACTACCAATGTGCCAAGACTAATGAGCACTCACACACAGGAGAACAGCGTGGGCACCTGGAGCCTCCTGTTCCAGTGCAGCCTCTCCATTCCCAACACAAAGTGTCTGTGCCAAGAGCGAGAAAAGCAAAACCTCGAGCCTTCCTTAAAGCCTGCTCAGGGACAGGTTTCAATATCTGCCCCAACATGTGATGGGATGTCACTTCTTGATCAAGGGAATGCTTGAAGATATAATTGCAGATGTCATCAAATGTGTCCAGAGAAAAGATAAGGGAAAAAAAAATCCAACCTGACACCAAACATTGACATGAAGGATAATAAAAAGTTGCTACATCTGCTGCTACCACATATTGTTACAGTCAATGCTTCACTACGTTGCCTGGGTGCAGGTAATTTTAAGGAAGAGCATTTTAGGATTTCACTGTTCACTACTGATTTTGGAGCTATTTTATGACCTGTTCTTCTCCCTCTCCCCAGGGACCCTGAGTATCCACTTCATGACTTCTCCAGGCACCGCTTAATGAGAATGTGCTCTGAACTTCCTCCTATTATCGACCAACCACTTCAGCCCAGCGAGGTTAAAAGCCATCCCAAGTCTGCAGCCTGCCTTCAGAAGGAAACCACTGGAGCGAGGTAGTTATGCACTAACAGCTTTTTGGCACAAATCCCCTTTAAACTATCCCGAGAGTGGCTGACATCCAGCTCTTCTCAAAATTTGTCAAGTTGATCTTCAAGCCAAAATTTATCAACGTTGTCTCCAAGCTCCTGAACGTTGTTTATTTGAACCAAGATATATTCCAGCACATCCAGGCACGATAAAGACATCAAAAGCTTTCATAAAGTTTTTGACCCCCCACCTTCAGGGAGGTGGGTCAGGGTTGGGGCTTGTTTTTGGACACAGCCCTTGGCACAGGACCATGCTCCCCATCTGCCCTTTTTACCCTGAGTTCTTTCTATAAAACCTAAACAGAAATATTTTGTACCCTTGGAGCTGCCCCTTGCCAGCACCGCAGGGATGGAGCTGGATGCTGCAGGAAGAGGAGAGCTGGGATCTCCAGGGCCCCCCTGTGTCCCCAGACTCCCCAGTACCCCTGGGCTCCCATGGGGCTGCATTCAGGGTCACTCCAAACACACACTCCCAAGGGAGAGAGTGCAGGGCCATGAAAGATGAAATCAGCCCAGAAGCCACAGAGTTTGGGCACCCCTCAGGGCAAGGAGCCGGCCCTGCCCGAGGCACTGGCAGCACTGCTCTGCAGCCACCACGGATCCCAGGTTCCCCAGAAATCCCAGGCTGGGGGAAGAGCACCATCATTGTTCTGCCCATCCCTCACCAGCTCCCTGATTCCCCCTGGGACCTGTGGAAGGCTAACACCGGTCACACAAACATTCCTGCTGGGCCAGCTATCCCCAGAGCACAGGGAGGGCAGAGGTGGCTGCGGGCACACAATGGAGCAGGGGGGCACCAGGGTCACGGCCCCTCGTTAAGCCCAGTGCTGCTCCAATTAGCCCCCTGTGCATCCCCAGTACAGAGCTCACACCCCCCAGTCAGCCTGTCCAACGGGCTGAGGGCCGCTGGGTTTTAGGGAGAGTTAACCAGTCTGTCCCTGGGAATTGCAGCTGCACTTCCACATTTGTATCCCCAGTTCTTTTTCAAAAAAATCTGGTTGCAGTTTCAGCAGCTTTAAGCTATTTGTGTCATCCGAGGAGCAGAAGCTCTTCCCTGCCCACCCCTGACAGTGGAATACAGAATGGTTTTATACCACAGCACAGTGAAAAGCCAGTTAAATGCTTTCCTTCAAGAAATGCTCTGCTGGCTCACACTTCCACACACCGAAAACCACTTCCATCCCTTCCCACACAGCCTGTCCGGAAGGAAACTGGGCAGGGGAGGGAGGTGGAGCAGGGCTGGGGGCTTGGTTTCAGATCCAGGCCTTGGCACAGGACCACACTCTTTTTATCCTGAGTTCTCTTTACAAAATATTTTTTATTTGGGCCAGATTATGTTTAACTGTAAGGAAAAAAATTCCTAGCTCCAGAGCTGGATCTGGGAGGGGTTCCTCTGGCAGCAGAGGTGGGCAGAGCTCCTGCCCATGCAAGCAGGATACTCTCAGCACAGAGCTCAGCTCTGCTCCAGGCTCACATGCCCTGGCACGAGAAGCCTTCCTGCTCCTGTTCCTGGAGGCAGGAAGCTCCACAAGTCTGCTGGAACAGGGCTGGGCTGCTGCTACTCTTCAAAGGGAGTGTGAGGAGCCCTGGGAATGGAGGCTCTGAGCCCACTGCCCCAGGGGAGGACATCCTCCAGCAGCGAAGGGATGCTCCCTGTGAGCAGGAGATGGGGGGCCCTGGGGCACAACCACCCAGCTGCCCACCCAGTTCCACACTGCCCACCACCAGGAGAAGTCAAACCCCTTCCCGCTCCTCTGCTTGCCCAGCCCAGACACCCCAGGAAGGCCCGGAGGAATTGCTCCCACATCCTGCCTGGAGCTGGCAGATGCTGATGTGGGCTGTGCAGGGCTGTAGGACAGCAGGGATGGGATCTCTCCTCAGCAATGCTTTTATTAGATATGAGCTTTACCAACAGACTGAGCTCTCTACTTGTAAACTCCATTAAAACTTCTCCTAGAAATGTAAACCAACCTATAAACCCCAAAGGCATTCCATCCCCCTCTCCTACCTACTCTGCTTATTCATATGGTTTTCCAAAACACAGAGTGCTCTGTTCATCTCTGCTCTCTGAGGCAAACCAGGATTTACCGTTTCTCCCCAATAACTATTCCAGAGCTGAGTTCTGTTCCCGACTCAGCGACCCACCCAACAGGCCGTGGATGAAATGAAGCCTTACCAGCTTCTGGGCGAGCCCCGGAGGAGCCCACTCGTAGGTGATGGTGTCGAAGGTGGGGTCCTTGCCCGAGATGTTGGGGTTGGTGACGATCATGCGGTTCCTCTTGTAGACGCGGACGCCGTCGCCGCCCTTGAGCCGCGCGGTCAGCGAGGAGTACCTGGAGTCGGCCAGCAGGCGCCCGACCTTGCGGTCATCGTCCAGCTCCGAGCTCAGGCCGTGCTCCTCCTGGCTGCACTTGCACGACTTGCAGATCTTCCTGTGGGCCACAAGAGACATCACCCTCTGGGTGTGAGCTGGGCTGTGGGAGGCGGGGGGTCACGGAGCGTCAGCCTCTTCCAGGGGTTAAACCCAGCCCAGGGTCACACTGCAGGACAGAAGGCTCAGTACAATTCATGGAACGGGTTGGGTTGGAAAGGACATGAAAGCTCATCCAGTTCCACTCCCTGCCATGGGCAGGGACACCTCCCACTAGCCCAGGTTGCTCCAAGCCCCATCCAACCTGGCCTTGGACACTCCCAGGGATGGGGCAGCCACAGCTTCTCTGGGCAACCTGTGCCAGGGCCTGACCACCCTCACAGGGAAGAATTCCTTCCCATATCCCATCCAACTCTGTTCTCTGTCAGTGTGAAACCATTCTCCCTTGTCCTGTCACTACAAAAACTCCCACCTGTGGGGAGCTGCTGCTTCCCCTGAACTTCAAAAACCCCTTCAAGCATCATTAAACTGGAGATCAGTCTCCTCATCAGACTCCAATGGCCCAGCACCAGCCTCACCTCTTATGAAGCTTTACATGGCATTAAAAAAGTGACTGCTAGAAGGAACTGATGCTAAATTGACTATAATTTGAACTGTAATAGCTATAAATCACACAGACAAATGTCTGTCTGCTGGCCAGCATTGCCACCAAACACTAGTAACAAAAGGGACAAAGTAATTCTGACACAATCCTGAGGATTTCAGCAGGATCCTGGAGCAAGAATGAGTCAAACCAGCCTCTAATGGAGTCAATTAACAAAAAAAAAAGTAGTTCTTCCACCAAGTGAGTGTTTTAAAGTTTGGATTCCACCCAGCTGAGGTATCAAAACAGGGAGCTGACAGTGTCCAAGGCATTCCAGCTGCAGCCAGCACAGCTGGGCCACAGGCTCCCTGTGCTGCTGCTACGCACACATACAGACCCCGGAGCTCTGCAGGCACACAGAGAGGAGCCCAGTGTTGCAAGGCAGCTCAGGGGGCACTAATTCTCTTTTAATTAGTGACATATGTAGGGCTGCCTTCCATTTGAAAGCCCCTTTGTTGTCCTGTTAGGGCAGGGAGCAGCCTCCCATCCCTGCCCCGAGCAGGGCACGCTGGCCTGGGCAGCTCCCACCAGCTACTGCCACCAGTGGCTATTCACTTCAATTAGTGCTCTTAAAAGGAAATATTGAAGATGAAATCTCAAATGAGACGTTCTGGCACTAAGCACAGCATTTCAGCTGGGAGGAGGCAGGACGGGACCAGACACAGCACCAAGACTGAGCCTGTGGCTCTTGGTCACACCCCAGCTCTGAGCCCATGGACAAGGGTGACAGCCAGGCACTGAGCACAGCTCCTCCTGACCACGTGGGATTGTCATTTGGGTCTGCACTTCCCTGCCTCCACAGCCAGCAGGGCTGTTTGTTTTTAGTATTCCCAAACAAGTTGAGAGGGCAGCGTGTGGCAGGCAGGGGGCTGTGCTCTGGCACACACACAGTGCAGGGCACTGGGGGGCTGGCCAAGCACAGCAGGCTGCAGAGTGATAGCAAAAGTGGGACAAACCCACTGCATGGAGCCTCAGCTCGCTTTAAACACTTGTAGATGAGATTTGAACCCAAAGAATAAGAGAGCAGGAGCAGGGAGGAGGGGGATGGAGAGCAGGGGCATGAGCATCCCCTCAGCTCAGCATCTCTACTTTGCTCTCAGAGTCACCAGAGGCTGAATACCAACAGGACCCAAGGACATGGCCAGGCAGGGCCCCTCCAGGACAGGACATTACCTCCAGGAGTGTGGCTCGAAGCCCATGCAGGTCCCTCGGCAGCGCAGGCAGGGCACAGCTCTCCCCATCTGCGGCTGGCTCCCCGACATCTGCAAAAGAGCAGGACACCCTGTTGGAGAGGCTTTATCCTCAGGGGTTATCCCAGACAGAGCACTGAGAGTGTGCTTTGTCCTTCAGACATTGACTTCTTCAGCCATTCCTTATGTCCCATGAAGCCTCAAACCTCCCAGATGCCAACTGACCATGTCCATGCAGCCCCACTACACGTTCATTTAGGGATGCTTGGGATGAGGGTGTTCATCTCAAAGTGAGGGAAAATGGAACAGCATGGAGGGGGTGGCACATCAAAGCCAGTGAACATGGCCACACTGGGCAGCCACCTTCACCTCGTCCACTGAGACCTCAGGTCTCATTTAAAGGTGATTTTGATTCAGTTTGTACAGGTCATGTATTCCTCATGGATCTGTGCAATTCAGATCACACAGGAGACATGGAGGTGTGTTACCATAACCTGGTGCTAAACTTGTTTTACTGCAGCTGGGACCTCCTTGGTCTTTCTCCAAGGGTATTTTGGGCATGTGGCACATTTCCATGCTTCTAGCACTGGGCTTTATGGGTGACTTCCACAGTGAACAGGAAACAGTGGAAAGGCTCTGGGGAGGTGAGGGGGGGACATGGGGGATGCAGGGATGCAGTTGTGCTGCACTTTGTGCTGCTCACTGAACACAGAAAAAAGCCACTCATATCCATGGGCACTCACTGCTGCAGAGACATCCAAACAACCTCCCAACAGGAGAGACAAGAGCAAAAATCCACACCAGGAGCCAATACCATTGGCAAATAAACCTGTTTCAGTGTCTGTCCCATGAATTTATCAAACACAGCTTTCTGAACATGAAGAACGCAGGAGGGAATGGCAGGAGACAAAAACAAAGTGCTGCAGGAGGCACCAGGGCGAGGTGACACCACGAGACGCTGGATTTATCTCAGCCTGGATGTTTATACAGGAACTGTCAGGCTCTTGCTTGAAAGACACGTTTGTTCCCTGTAAAAATGAGCTGAAGGAAAAAAAGGACCGTCCCAGGCCCAGCAGGAGCAATGGCAGCACCACGGTCACCCCAGCTTAGCAGATCCAAGTCTGAGCAGTCAGAGATCAAACCACAGGGCTTAACCCACCATCCACCGCTGCAAAAAACACCACCTTCAGTCCCAAGGCATTGCCAGGGGGAGCTTTCTGACCTCCCATGCAGGTTTCTGACCACTCTGGACCTCACAGTCTGCATTTCCCATGAGGGCTCATGACATGCACAGGGTTCGCACCTCCCAGTCCCTTTTTGGGCCCTGCTCCCATTTATTGAGCTTTTATGGAAGATCTTTAATCTCCCTTGTTCTAGGCACTGACTATTCAAGACCTGTACACACCCTGAGAGCCCATCTGAATACCAGAACATCCTGACTGGGGAGGGACCCACGAGGATCATCAATGTCCAACTCCCTGGTCCTGGGACAAGCTCAAGGGCTCACACTCCAGCAAAGCACAGGTAAGGCTGCACAGGTTTCCAGTGCTGGGGAAGGCTGGTGCCTGCCCACAGAATCTGAGCCCATTCTATGTGTGTCTCCGAGCTGTGACAGTCTTTCATTACAAGATCATACACTATTTCAGTCACTACCAGTTACACTGGCAGAGGCTGCTCTTGCCAAAACCTATTTTCAAAGGGAGGGATCAACAGCAGTAAAAGAACAGGTGAAAGAACAGATGCTGCTCCCCAGTCCTGTGGGGCCCTTGTGCTGCCCCAGCTCTGTCCAGCTCCAGGTTCTGCAGCTCTGCCCGGGTGTGAAGCCAGTGAAGATGCTTTCAGCCCTCCTTCCTTCTGCATCCACCTGCCCCACTTCCAGCACCAGCTCCCAGGGTCCTCAAAGCTCCTGCGTGGATCTGGGGCACCCCACGGTCTTCTCTGACATTCAAACTCATTCTGCAGCTTCAGGAGGATGAGGTTATTTGATGGCACTCAGGAAAGACATTTCATTTATTTGGAAACAAGTAAAATTTGCTAACAAGGACAAAGGTTCTATAAACAGATGTTCTAGAAATGACCAGAGGTTTGTTTGCCAGTTTTAAGGTAGATGACAGGCCTTTACATGCCTTTTTTTTTTGCCCAGAACTAATAAGTCTCTACACAAGGCTGCTCATCCTGGAAAAACACAAAGGGGTACAAAATGGCCCATTTCAGCTCCTTGTGCCCTAGGACTGCTAGTTCACTTCTGCCTCATCTTTCACCTGTAATTTTCACTCAATTTTCCACCTGCAGTTTGTCCCAAGATTTTGAAGCCAGTGAAAAGACCTCTCACCCCAGGAGTTAATAAAAATAAATCTTAAAAATGACCTTAACATGCCCAAACACTCCACTCTGTCTCTAATATCCAGAAAGAGAGAACATTTTTGGTTCTTCAGCCATGTGCCAGCTCTCCAGGAGGGATAAAGGCATCTAAGATTTCCATGTAACATTCACAATCCTGCCAGTTCTGGAGCCATGTCCCAGGTACCCACTGACTGATGGGTTTAACTGACTCTGATCTTAGTGAGTCAGACAGAAGCTGAGTATCAGCAAGACACTGTGAGTGGTGGTTTATCTAAAATACAAACATCTGGATTAAATAAACTCACTGGGAAAAGGTTCATTACACACAAGGGGAAAAGCCCAGGGAAAAGCACAGTCAGTAGCAAGAAGCAGCATGTAAGCCCTCCTAAAACAACCTGACACTGGAGTCCAAGGAAGTGTCACTGCAAGAACTCAGCCCTTTGGGATGACACCAGCCAGTGATCCCCACACGGAGACAAACCCCGTGTGCCACTTCCTTGCTTCAGTGAGAACAAGTCCCTTTCTTGGTAATTTATTCTACTTGTTCAAACATGATTCCTGTTCCCTGCCCAAGTTCAATCAAGGTTAACTGCTCCTCACTCCAAATGCTGCCAGCAGTGGCTTGGGCACTGCTGTCTCTTGCCAAGGGCAGGGTGAGTGTCCTGCAGCCCACAGTGGGCAGAGCTGGGGTCCCACGGGTGCTCCCCCACAGCACCGTGGGTGAACAGCCAGCTCAGGTGGATGGACGTGTCTGACCAGTGCTCCCGGGGGCCTTTGGGCTCTAAACAAAAGCTGGGGATCCATTTCTCCAAGACAAAACCAAGGAAGTCTGAGCCATTACTTTTGGGCACATACAGCTTCAGGCATGTGCAGGAGACTTGGTCCCCAGCCCTCCCACCTCTGCCCTGCTCTAGCCAGGATGAGACCACACCTTGGAGACCAGGAGCTCCAGTGTACAACCAGAGCAGCTGTGGCTGCTCCATCCCCGGAACTGTCCAAGGCCAGGTTGGACGGGGCTTGGAGCAGCCTGGGCTAGTGGAAGGTGTCCCTGCCCATGGCAGGAGGCTGGGACTAGATAAGCTTTAAGGTCCCTTCCAACCCAAACCATTCTAGGATTTCATGATTTTGTGACCACCTCAGGAACTCCTGCTTGCAGTGTCAGCAGCAGGAGGCTCCTCACCATGTGAGTCTGGAGCTACAGGAAAACACATGGGGGAAACACTCTGCAAACTGGGAGGTTCCTCAAGCCAATACGTGGCTCCTGAGATGGCTCAGGTCTCTCTGCCCTTGGAGGGGCAGGTCTGCAGCAGTAGGGGAAGGTGCTGAGATGGCAGTTCATCCCCACTGCTGCTTCGGTGACCCCATGGAGCTTCAGGGACATCCCTGTGGCACAGACAGGTCTTGCCAGGGCACCAGGAGCAGCCTGGGTGCACTTGCCCACCAGCTGCAGCACTGCCATGCCCTGCAAGCTCAGATCTGGGCAGTGTCTCCTCAAGGGTCCTGAAAGCCCAGCCAGGTCTCTGAAGGAGAAAGTGATTCCTCACCCCCTTGGAAGCAGAGGGAGACTTGAGCCACTCTCATTCCCACCCCTGTGCAGGGCCCAAACGGAGCAGGCGCCGCTGCCCGCTCAGCAGCACGTCCTGCCCAGACACGGAGCTTCTGCTCACTGCTCTGCTCCAGCTCCTCACATAGGCATGAAAGGAGATTTCTTTTAAAAAAAATATGCAAGACACTGCAAAAAAACCCAAACCCAGTAAGATAATGTGAAACAAATGCTCCAACTATCTCAGGCTCCACCTATGGCCAAGCCCATCCGGGAACTGCAGCTGAACTTTGGCATCACCTTAAGATAAAGAGTTTGAAGACATTTGTAATGCTTAAAAAAAATAAAAAGATAAAACCAGGCCCATGTCAACAAACTGCTTAAAGAAAAGAAAATCCTGCTCGCCAGGACTAGATATACACTCCTTGCAACATTTCTGTTTTGGCTTTCCATGCCTTAGAGCATTCTTGCTGTTAGAGGAGAGAAAGCAAGACAGGGCAGAGGAAATTCTTGGGTAGTGAAATGATAGGAAACAGAGGCCATTCTACCCACAAAAACATCTCTGAACAGGCTCAGGAACACGCTGGTAATACCATGGTTTGCTGTTCCACTGGCCAAAGGCAGGGCCATCCAGAAAATAGAGAGCCCATAATGATAAGTGACAAAGAAAGAACCCAAACATGGCTCCATCTTGGTTCAGAGCTTGAGGACTCCTCTGGAAAGGAACACTGAGCTTCCCAGGAAAGTCAAGTGAGATGGACCCCTGGCTAGGAGCCATAAGCAGGTCAGGGTTCAGCCCTGACACCTCTGGTCAGCAGCATCACTGGCCACTGTGGAGGGTGATGGGGTGCCAGAGGGTCACCAGCCCAACTGGCAGGTTAATCTGGACTTTCATTCTCAGAGGAACTCAGGCCTGAAATAAGGTTCAGAGTTTTGGCAGGTTTGGCCAACACAGCCATTAATCAAGACCATCAAAGGCTCGTTACACTTCCAAGACAGTTACACCCCCTCTCCTGGACAAGCTGGTCCCACAGACACTGACGGGACACGAGGCTGGACTCAGCTGCTCTGACTCCTGTGCTCAGTGCCAGGGGAGAGTACGAGTGTCAGGGAGATCCAAGAGCAGGGTGAAGGGTATCCATCCTGCAGCAGTGTCATCCCTCCCTGCTGGGGAGGTCACCCACAG